CCTCCCGCTCCTGCGGGAACAGCGCCGAGACGATGTCCCGCAGCTGCTGAGGCTGGAGACGCTCCGTGATCGGGGGGGCCCATGGGCGCATTTTATTGCGCACCATATGATAGGGCCGCCCCCACGGATCCTCATCCAGCGTCTCCAAGAGACCCTCCATGTGTTGGTTCTTGGCTCTTCTGATGGCCAGCTGCAATGCCCTCTGCGCGACGCGAAATGCGCCGTGCAGCCGGGCCTCTGCCGCCGCGAACGCAACCGGATCGTTGCGCCGCGGCAGGCGGCGGCGGCGATGCCTGGCGCACTCGCGCCTCGCCCGAACGCACTCCACGCGGAGTTGCGCAATTTCGGGCGACCACCAGTACGCCTGGCGATTAGGGAGTCTAGGGCCGATCCGGGGCATCGACGCATCACAGATGCGACGCATCGTGTCCCGGAACCACCCCGCCTCTCCCTCGACCTCGACTGGGTGTGGACGCATGGGCGCCCACGCCGCCACCGTAGAGGCTTCCATCAGGAGCGCCTTATTCAGGCGCTTCAGTGCCCACATTTCTTAGGGTAGAGCTTATTATTTTGAAAGTCAAGCTCACTCTCCCAATTAACATTATTATAACAGTAGCCCGATGCTGAGAGTAATCAAGGCGGCTGCGAAAATCTTTTTTTTTTTTTTGCAGACGAGCACACTGCCCACCTGAAGGTGAGTGGTTACCGTCGCCCATGGACTTCAGCATTGCCAGGGGCAGAGCCAAGCCGTTGCCTACCTTTGTTACACACAAAAAGAACAGACGTGAACATTCTAAGCACAGTCATCATTTTATCGAAGTTGGGTAAATCTCAATATTCACGGTGTAGGTATTATGTTTTAAGGGGTATTTCACACTAGACGCACATGTCGTCCGTGCGATTGTGACGCGCGACGCGCGACGCGTGACGCTCTTTGATGAGATCGATTCCGAATTCTGTTCAGACAGGAACTTGATAAAGTGGTCCATGCGCTTTTTCTCATATTTTATGAAGACGGAATTTACATGTTGACCTGACCTCGCCGTGACTCTGTGCTCACTGTCGAGAAGCAATCGCGCGTTCCGACTGAAGGCTAACATTCGTAATCATGAAGTTCCTGGAAGAGGGTTACGAAATGCTTGTACTTCTGGTAAGGTATTGCAAGTCTGCTGAGACCAGCTCCACAACTCTGCTTTGTCTCCAGCCTGGCGTGGTGCGCGTTTTGGTTAGAACGGCTGCAAAGACGAGACCCGTGATTGAACGCAATTAAAACTTCAACGAGCGCTTGAAGTCTACTGAAGTTTTACCGACTACATATTGCCTTTCATAACGAACCTCAAAATAAATTGAATTACATAACCACAATTTTTTTCCAGTTTTTTTGTTGTTGATAATTACAATATAAATTTGTGTCAAATTTTTTTTTATTGCTTAGATGGGTAAACGAACTCACAGTCCACCTGGTGTTGAGCGGTTACTGGAGCCCATACACATCTAAGGTTTCAAGTATAGTTACAACGGC